TTTTATCATGAATGGATGTTGAATTTTATCAAATATTATTTCTGCATCTATTTAGATGATCATGTGGTTTTTGCCTTTTCTTTTGTTGATATGGTGTATCACGTTGATTGATTTGTGTATGTTGAACCATCCTTGTGACCCTGGGATGAATCTGACTTGATCATGTTGTATGATTCTTTTTATGTGTTATTGAATTTGGTTTGCTAATATTTTGTTGAGGATTTTTGCATCTATATTTATCAAAGATATTAACCTGTAGTTTTCTTTTTTAGTAGTGTCTTTGTCTGGTTTTGGTTATCAGGGTGATGATGGCTTCACAGAATGACTTTGGGAGTATTCCCTCCTCTTCGACCTTTTGGAAGAGTTTGAGAAGGATAAGTGTAAGTTCTTCTTTGTATGTTTGGTAGTATCCCCCAGTGAAGGCATTTGGTCCTTAACTTTTGTTTGTAGGGATTTTTTTTTTTTAATTACAGATTGTACTTCACTTTTAGTGATTGTTCTGTTCAAATTATATGTTTCTTCTTGGTTCAGTTTTGGCAGTTTGTATGTTTCTAGAAACTTTTCCACTTCTTCTAGGTTGTCCATCTTGTCATATAACTGTTCTTGGTATTTTCTTATGATATTTTGTATTTCTGTGATGTTGGTTTTTTTTTCCTCCTCTTTCATTTCTTATTTTGTTTATTTGGGTCCTCTTTTCTTCTTGGTGAGCCTGGCTAGAGGTTTGTTGATTTTGTTTATCCTTTCAAAAGCCCAGCTGTTGCTTTTATTGATTTTTTAATATATTTTTAAATCTTTATTTCCTTCTGATCTTTATCATTTGCTTCCTTCTGCTGACTTTAGGTTTTGTTTGTTTTTCTTTTTTTAAAAAATGGTGATTTTCTTTTTTGTTAATATTTATTAATTAATTAATTTGTTTTGGCTGCACCGGGTCTTATTTGTGGCTAGCGGGATCTTCGTTTCAGCATGCAGACTCTTAGTTGCGGCACATGGACTTCTTAGCTGCAGCATGCAAACTCTTAGTTGTGGCATGAATGCAGGATCTAGTTCCCCAAGCAGGTATTGAACCTGGGCCCCCTGTGTTGGGAGCAATGAGTCTTACCCACTGGACCACCAGGGAAATCCATGTTTTTCTTTTTCTAATTTTTAGGGGTCTTTTTGAGATTTTTCTTGTTTTTTGAGTAAGGCCTGTATTGCTATAAACTTCCCTCTTCGGACTGCTTTTGCTGCATACCATAGATTTTGTATAGTTGTGTTTTCATAGTCATTTGTCTTGAGGTATTTTTGATTTCCTCTTTGATTTCATTGTTGACCAATTGTTTTTTTAGCAGCATATTTTTTAGTCTCCATGTAATTGTTTTTTTCTTGTTTTTTTTTCCTGTGGTTGATTTTTGGTTTCATGCCATTGTGGTCAGAAAAGATGTGTGAGAAATTCGTTGAAAAAACTATTAAGACCAATTAGTGATAAGGGAAAAAAAGTTGTTTTTTTAACCTTCACTTGTTTCTTCTTTGATGCTCTCCCTATCATTTTGTAGATCTGAGTTTCTGAACTATATTTTCTCCTCTAGAGTGCGTCTGTTAACATTTATTGCATGGCAGACCTACTGGTAACAAATTCCCTCAATTTTTGTTTGTCTGAGAATGTATTTATTTATCAGTTTAAAAGATAATTTCATAGGGAGGGTATAGAATTCTAAGTTGGAGGGATTTTTCTCTCAACACTTTAAGTATTTCACTCTATTTCTTCTTGCTTGTATGGTTTCTGTGGAGAAGTTGGAAGCAATTGTCTGTTTCTCTTTAGATTTTTATTTTCCCTTTGGCTTTTTTCAGGATTTTTTTTCTTTATCTTTGATTTTTTGTACTTTGAAAATGTTATACTTAGGCATAGTGTTTTTTTCCTTGACATTTATTCTGCTTTGATGTTCTCTGAACTTCCTGAATCTGCAGTTTGTTGTCTGACATTAATTTAGGGAAAATTCTTAGTCATTGTTGCTTCAAATATTTCTTCTGTCCTTTTCTTTCTCTGGTATTTTCATTCTCATGTATTACACCTTTTGGAGCTTTCCCAGAGTTGTTTGATTTTCTGTTCTGCTTTTTTTTTTTCCTCCAGTCTTTGTTCTTTTTGCTTTTCAGTTTCAGAGGTTTCTATTGAGATATCTTTAGCTTAAAGTTTCTTGTCTTGACCATGTCCAGTCTACTAATAAGCCCATCAGAGGCATTCTTCATTTCTGTTACAGTGGTTTTTTTGGGTTTTTTTTTTTTGTGGTACGCGGGCCTCTCACTGTTGTGGCCTCTCCTGTTTCCGGAGCGCAGGCTCAGTGGCCATGGCTCACGGGCCCAGCTGCTCCGCGGCATGTGGGATCCTCCCGGACCAGGGCACGAACCTGCGTCCCCTGCATCGGCAGACGGACTCTCAACCACTGCACCACCAGGGAAGCCCCTGTTATGGTGTTTTTGATCTCTAGCATCTTTTTTTTGTTTTTTTTAGGGTTTTCATCTCTCTGCTTACATTGTCCTTTTGTTCTTACATGCTTTCCACTTTATCCATTAGAGCCCTTAGCACATTAATCATAGTTGTTTTATATTCCTGTTTTATAATTCCAGCATCTTTGCCGTATCTGGTTTCGATGCTTGCTTTGTCTCTTCAGGTAGTTTTTTTGCTTTGTAAATATGTTGTGTTGTGGGGCCTGTAGCTTGTATATTAAATTAAGAATATTCTTAATATTAAGAACATTATGACTTGCTGAATGAGTAGGCAGGCACAAGCCATCCACATGGGGTTGGCATACTGTTCTCTTAGCATCTGAGCTTTCACTTTGGGCAAGTGCAAACCCTGGGTCATTTTGATTGAAGGCACAATGTCAGTACACTTGCACAAGGAAGGAAAGTCACAAGATTTATTACTTACGATCCCAGAAGTGGGGGTGGGGTGTGCAAGAGCCTGGGAAGGGCAGTCCTCCATCCCAGGTCACAAGTGAACAGGAGATAGAGAGCAGAGTAGCAAGCACCTATTACTTGTAAAGTGTTTGGGGCAGATTTTGCTACCTTTTTCAAAATTCAACTCTAAGTAGTCATTTTAAAAGGTTCCCTGAGAAAAAGCAAGCAGGACCTTGTGGCAGGAATCCTAAGCTCAGGTCCTTATCTAACTATCTAGACTCTGGGTGTGAGCAGGGTTGTCATACTATAAAATGCTTACGTAGCAACTCAGAGTAGCTGTTTTCTCATCACAATTGACTCTGTGATGCCTAGGCATTAGTCTTTAGGGAAAGTCATGGGCACTGTTTAGATGGTGGAGATTTTAAAAGCTACTGGCAGGGTTTTGGTCACCCAGCACATGAAACATCTGAACAAAACAAAAATGCCACTCAGCAATATCAATAAGCAAATGGTAGTTTGAAATCCTGTCTGTAACCATCTCCTCCCATTTTTGGGGTCCAGACAAGAAAATAAAAGAAAGTCCGTGGATAAGACTGAGGTAGGTATTTGATTTAAAACTTGGGTGAGATTATGGAATACTTGTACCTGTTGGGCCATCTTTTGTAAATTTACCAGAATTTAGAATTATTAATATACATGTAGCAAGAGGTACCCTTTACAGTTCCCCCTTCCTTGGCCATTAGTAACCTAAATGGTTATCCAAAACCATCTGCACTAAAGAATCATGTTGTTGTTGCATTAGGGCTGGGCTTTCATGTAACAGCCCAATGTGTTTAGCCAGGGTAGCTGACAGTTTTGTGTTTGCCTTAATAATTTGTTGTTGCATGCCTATTGTGGTGGTGCCTAACCCAGTTCCCATGCAGGATTGTCTCAGCCCTGCTCCCAACATATTGGGAATGAGTACTGCAGATTTTTTACATGAGGTGGCATAAAGAGATACAGTTTGGGGATACTATTCAGTGATTTGTAAGGGTAGTCCCAGCGAGACTAAAGTACCTTGGTATGAACAGACAGGAGGAGGCAAATGCATTGGAGGCTGAGGAAAGGAGAAGTGCACATATGGGGAATCATGTATAAATGCTGGCTCTTGGGTGCTGGACCCACAGTGGACACTGACTGTTGGATTGGGGATGTCTAAGACCATGGGGATTGTGCTTCTTGGGATGAGAGGTATAGGTCGTATTCATCCATGTGGTGTCACAGGTGGAGTGTGTTAGTGCCTGGACAGATATGGGAGATTTATAAAGGGCATGTGGGGGCTCCTGCCAGATGCTACATACTGTATTGCAAAGTGTTGCATGGGAGCTGTTGAGCAACATAGAGAGTAGCTGGGTAAGCCACAGGGATGCATGGGATGCCTCTCTTGGGCAAATAGGGGCAGAGTCAAGAAATTAGCCAGGTCGGCCACTAACTCAGGAAGAAGCCTTTGTTGAGTTTGATAATATGTTCAGCAATTACAGCAGCCCAAAAAATGAGCACTGGTTTCTGCCCATTGCATAAAAATATTAAGACTGTGGGAGGGCTTGAATGAGAAGATTGTGGAGCCCTGAGTGCTGACAGTGGGAAAGGACCCCCTTGGGGTGGTGTAGGGAGATGACTCTGGCTGCAGTTGTGGAGGGTGTATGTGTGAGGGGGTTGGGGAGGTGCTCTGGTGGTTGTAGCATCTGTAGCCAGGGAGGGGTCCTTCCAATAGAATTTAAATTCACTAACCCTCAGTAGGTCACATAATGTGGAACAATCTAGTGTGTGTAGTGAGGGCAAGCAATTAAATGAAGCATTTAATCAGACCTCTGTAAGGTTATGAGACTCGACATGTACCTTGGCCTATCAAAATTTAAAGGTGCAGTGGAGAGCAGCCTGGCAGTCATAGTGCCACCGGACACTTGAGCAGCAAGCATAATAATAAGCAAGGGGACCTTGGGGTAAATAATATTTAACTCTACAAAATGCCACTGAAGTGGGTCGTCAGCAGGGAATTTAGATAAGCATTCCATTCAGCAACCACGTCCTGGGGAGTGCTTGCCATCGTCAGCTGCCATGTCTTCCTGGTGTCATCTCTTCTATAGTGGAAGGTTGCAGAGGTGGCATTCGTGATGAAGTTGTGTCCCGCGCTGTCATGGACTGGGGCATTGTCATCAGCAGTGTTGCAGGTGAAGGGAGCCATTCTAGAGTAGGTGGCTCTCCAGCCACCCAGGAGGGGAACTGAGGGGCCAAGGGGTCTAATAGGGTTGCATAAATTTCGGATGCTCTGATTAAGGTTTGCTTGCACCATTGGGAGTGTCTGTTGGTATCTCAAATTCTCAGTAAACTTTAAGGGTCTTTGGGTGTGCCCCTCACAAATGATTAAGCAGTGCCGTTCTCCAAGGCATAAGAAGTCTCCATCATAAATAGTAAAGATTAGAGGCCCAAGAATATTTAGTTATATGCTCATGACAATTTAATGTTTAGTCTTGTGTTACCAGAGATGGTAACTGAGATGGTCTGAACTGCATAATCTTATCAGCCAATTAGGGTTAAAATTAGAGCAGTGTAATGGCTGGTGGCAATTAAGCATTTGTGCCCTTGGTCCCATTTAAGATAGAGGGCTTGAATTGTCCAGCTAGTATCTATACCTGGTGGCTTTTTGGGCCCAGCCCCTCTAGGGCTGACTTCCAACATACACCATCCCCCCATCCTGGGGTTCAGTTGTGGGCAAGTGCTGTGGTCTTCCAGTAACTTTCTGGTGCTGCCTCTTTGGGGTCATGGAGAAAGCCCCATGACCCAGATGGCACAGAGTAGGGACAACAGTAGCAGGCATCTACATTTTATAGTTTTGTGCCTGCCTGCTGTGTGCCCCATGTGATGGTTTGTTATTGGGCTCTTGTAGGTCAATATCTCATTGGCAGCCTCCTCCAGAGTGAGGTAGGGCCGGGTGCTGTGATGGTATCACTATGATGTCATCTTCTAATGTTGCTGGTGTCAAGCTGAGTGCCTTTTCCCCCCTTTTGGAGTTCCATCCACACCATTCTTTCACTGGGTCCAAGGTTATTATTTCTACTTCTTGTGGGGAGGTATAGTTAGGAGAAAGGAGCCATCCACTAAAGGCACTCACTATACATTGGAATTTCAGTGGGAGTTTGCACATCAAGTGGATAAGTGTGGTCCAGTAGTGACCTAGTGGGTCTGTGTTCCTCTAATGGGCCAGGACTATCTCTGACCAGGGTGGGTCATAGCTAACCACCCATCCCCAGTCAGGTTGCAGGTGAGTATTGGAAGGCAAGATGATTGACATTTTAAAATCTGTAAGGGGACTCAAAAATGTTGGGGAAAATGTAAATTATATTGTCCTGTGAGATGAAAGCATCAGATTTCCCCATGGTAACAGTCTGTCTTCCTTTGTGATTTGTAAAATTTTTTTGTAGGGATATGCTTTGACTGTTTTCTTTGTTTCTCTTCTTTATCTTTTGTGGTATTTTCTTTGTGGCTATCATGAGACTACATAAAACATGTTATGGGTATAGTATAGACAACAAAAGCAATAATGGACAGCTGAAACTATATCAAATTGAAAAGCTTTTGCACAGCAGAGAAACAATCAATAGACTGAAAAGGCAAACTATGAAATGGGAGAAAATATTTGCAAACCATGTATCTGATAAAAAGGTTAATATCCAAAATACACAGGGAACTCCTATACCACAATAGCCAAAAAAAAAAAAACCCAACCTGATTAAAAACTGGGCAAAGGACTTGAATAGACGTTTTTCCGAAGATATCCAGCTCTCCAACAAGTACATGAAAATATGCTCAACATCGCTAATCAAAAGGGAAATGCAAATGAAAACCACAAGGAGATATCACTTCAGACGCATCAGGATGGCTACTATCAAAAAGCCAAAAGAGGGCTTCCCTGGTGGCACAATGGTTAAGAATCTGCCTGCCAATGCAGGGAACATGGGTTCGAGCCCTGGTCCGGGAAGATCCCACATGCCATGGAGCAACTAAGCCCATGCGCCACAACTACTGAGCCTGCACTCTAGAGCCTGTGAGCCACAACTACTGAGCCCACGTGCCACAACTACTGAAGCCTGCGTGCCCAGAGCCCATGCTCCGCAACAAGAGAAGCCACCGCAATGAGAAGCCCGTGCATTGCAATGAAGAGTACCCCCCTCACCACTATTAGAGGTGCACAGCACCAAGACCCATGCACAGCAACCAAGCAACGAAGACTCAGCGCAGACAAAAATAAATTAATAAAATAAATTAATTTTTTTAAAAAAACCCAAAAGATAACAAGGGTTGGAGAGGATGTGGAGAAGTTGAAACCCTTGTACATTGTTGGAGGAAATGTAAAATTGTGCAGCCACTATAGAAAACAGTATGGAGGTTTTTCAAAAAGTTAAAAATAGAATTACTATATCATCTAACAATCCTACTTCTGGGTAGATATCTAAAAGAATTGAAATCAGGATCTCAAAGAGATATCTGCACTCCCTTGTTCTTTGCAACATTATTCACAGTAGTCAAGATTTCACAATAGTCAAGATATGGAAATAACCTATATGTTTATTGATGGCTGAATGGATGAAGAAAATGTGGTAAATATGTGTAATGGAATATTAGTCAGCCTTTAAAAAGAAGAAAATCCTGCCATATGCAACAACATGGATTAATATGGAGGATGTTATGCTAAGTGAAGTAAACCAGTTACAGAAGGACAACTGCATGATTCTACTTATATGGGGTTCCCAAAATAGCCAAATTCATAAAAACAGAGTACAATGGTGATTGCCAGGGCTGTGATAAGTAGGAAGTAGGAAATTAGTGTACAGTTTCAGTTATGTAAGATAAATAAATCCTAGAGAGAGATCTATTCCCCAACATGGTGCACTTAAAAAAGTGGACCCTTTGCCAACAGGACAGATCTCATATTAAGTGTTCTTAACACAATATACATATTAAAAAAAGAATGTAATGTGTCAAATAGATGAAAAATGTTTAAATAAATATTAGTATTTGGTATTCACTATCATATTTTTAAAAATAATGTATCATGAACAGGTAGAGCATAAGCCAGCAAAGCAGATAGTTCAGTCTTAGGAAATTTATAAACATACATTTTACATTAGCAGGAAAACTGTAGTTATTTCAGTAGGTTCTAAAAAGGTATTTGGGAATAAAAATAAAAAGTAAAAATCTGTTCTCAATTAAGAATACTTCTCTAAATTAGAGTAGAGCAATAGTGCCTCAGTATAATAAAGAATATGTATTTGAAATTAGCAATCAGCATAGTCAAAGGTCATATACTTTTTTTATACATATAAAACATTTGTGAGTGATGTTACCATAAATGGTCAAGTAGGGAACTCCAGGGCTCCATTTCTGCACAAAAAGAACTAATAAGCTGGTGAAATCTGTCAGAACCAACTTTTGTAGATCTCTGGAATCTAGTCAGAACTTTAAAAAAAATAGGGAATGATTACTAAAGTAAAGAGCTGTTGTACTATAGTAGGAGAGCATTGACTGAGGTATCTTAAATCGTAGCTTTGATGATGACAGACCACACTCCCAATACAGGTTAATAGTTACAGAGGGCACAATACAAACCTTATTCTTAAAAAATTGTTATTGAGTGTTTCAACCTGTCTGACAGCTCCCTGAAGGACTAGTGCAGGAACTTCCCTTTGCTTTACTCAACTAAAAGCTTTCCCAAGGCTGAGGCAGCTTCCCTGCCAGTGTTTGACAAAAGCATTTAATGGCCAAAGCATCGGCTGCAGCAGTCTGGGTCTAGGTATAACAGTCAAGATAAACAATAGGCACACTGAAAAGCTTGAGAAGGAAGCAGTTGAGAAAGGAGATAGATACATGGGGAATAGGACTTTTTAAAGGTCCTGCTTATACTGGGGAATTTAGGAGGCCATGTGCGTGCCCAGAGCTTGACTCATTCTCAGCAAAGGCCTAAGAAGACCTTAAGCTTTCACCTCTGGCCGACCTTTCAGGCTTTGCATTGCACAAGCTGTAAGTGAAGGTTGAAGGACCTGTCTAACTAAGTGTTGGAATGCTTCAGCATAGAGAAAATCAGAACAGATTGGGAGAAGTTGTTTTCTGTTTTCTTTTTCTTTTTTGGCTGCAGGTGTTTAACGAAACTGTCAAAATAATAGCTGACAGTTAAGCTAAGAGAACACAGACTTCAGTGCCACGCACAACAAAGAATACAAACTTTTTACAAAAGTAGTTCAGAAAAGTATCAAAGAGACAAACAATAACCCACAACAAGCAACAACACCAAACTCTAGGTAGGGGGGAGAATCTGGTATCCAGAGTTTCCAGACTGTATTTGATATGTCCAGTTTTCAACAAATTATGAAACACTTAAAGAAACAAGATATGGCTCTTGTCAGGAGGAGAAATACAGTTTACAGTAACACTACACAGGGATTAAGGCACATATAACTTACATTCAGTTCTCCATTTCTGTGATATTTTTTCCCCATATGTGGATTCAACCAACCACAAACCACGATGTACTGTAGTATTTACTATTGCAAAATATCCACATATAAGTGGACCCTCACAGTTCAAATCCAAGTTGTTCAAAGGTCAACTGTAATTAATAAAAACTGTCCGTGAGGAAGCCCAGGAATTATAAGAAAAAGATTTTAGATCAGCTGTCTTAAATGTGCTCAGAGAGCTAAAGAAAGCTATGGTCAACAATCTAAAGAAAACCAAGAAAAGGATGTGTCACCAAATAGAAATATCAAAAAAGGGATAGCAATTAGAAGAAGGATCCAAATTCAAATTCTGGAGCTGAAAGTACAATAACTGAAATGAAAAGTCCAACTAGAAGGACACATTTGAGCAGGTGAAACAAAGAATCAGTGAACTTGAAAATAGGTCAGTTGAGATTATCAAGTTTGAAAGCCCAGGAGGAGAAAAGAATGAAGAAAAATTAACAGAGCCATGAGGTACCACCAGCATACCAACATGTGTATAATGGAAGTCCTAGGGTGAGAGAAAAGAGAAATGGACAGAAATAATGCTTGATGAAGTAATTGTTGAAAACTTTACAAATTTGATGGAAAACATGCATATATACATCCAAGAAGCTTAATGAACTTCAAGCAGGAAAGACTGAAAGAGTTCCACACTGAGACACATTACAGTTGGTCCTTGAACAATGCAGAGGTTAGG